TGAATTATAAAAAATCATTGAAATAGATAGCAGGTAATGTTAGTGGATGGGAGCTCCAGTTTTTGCAGTACTTTTGATTTTTAATTCCCATTTTATTTTTAGCAGTACCCCTTACTTGTGGTTCTTTTATTGTTTTTGAAATTGTGTTAACTAGACATTTGTTAAAATTCTATCTATCTTGTAAGAATCCCGAGCATTAGGACCTGTGGTTTGACGTTGCCTGTACTAAAATAGTGTAGTTATGGCTTTTTCATTGTGTTTTTATTTTTTTTAATTGAACACACATTGTGTTTTACACTATATTGTTGTCTTGCCGGAATTTTTTGAGTTTGCGTTTAAATAATGCTCCTTTGTGTTATACGTTCAAGTTCATTAAATGTGTGCACTGAAGAAATGTTCTGTATTATTCGAAGTTGAGACCACAGCTCACCCGTTACACACCTGCAGGAATGCAGCTGACATGAAAAGGTTCAGACTCGGCATGTGATACACTTGTGCGGTCAAGCATAGGAGACTAATTCTACACGCTTAACAAAGTTGTTCGTTGATATTGAAGTTTTTGGGGGATATTGGGGAAAACACTCAATTCTACATATTATTTTTAAATGGAGTACTTCTGATGACTCTTTTGAAATCCTGGGTTTTGTTGTTGCTTTTTCTTGCTGTGTCTGAAGACAGTGGGTAAATAAAATTTCATAAACTTGGCATATTGAAGTTTATTTGAAGAGAAAAAAATCATCAGTTAAATTACAACATTTCTAGGCAAAACGAAATATGTACAGATACAATCAGACTTGATAAAATTACTTTCAACAAGTACAGGTGAAAGTCATAGCAGCCATCTTCAGAAAAAAAACCTATTTAAGTGGACACAGAAAGTGCCCTTAGGTTTAGAGCAACATTTGTAAGATTTAATTCCATTTGGTAAAGTTAATGATAATTTAGGTTTCTGACCAGATTAAGATCACAGAGGTACAAAGAAAAATTAAAAGTTCAGATTAATTGAGAACAACAAAAATCAGGGCTGAATTCAGGTGCTGCTGAATCAGGCTGGCATACATCAGGCCTTTATGCAGATTTTTCCCCAAAGGAAGGTCATGAACTTGGATGGTAACTGAAGGGTAGGTACGTGTACATTATATAGCTAAATTTAATTCCTAAAAATGCTTAAATAATGGTATGGTATTGATAAAGTGCCCTTGATCTTGTCTGGAACTATATTAGAACCACTTTCCTTAAACAAGAGAAAAGGAAACATATATTAGTGTGATTTTAAACAGTGCACAAGATATGAAGAACAATTAATCCAAATCTAAAAAAAACCTTCAAACAAATTGACTTATAGAAGTCTCACAAACAGGAATATGGTGTGGAGGCATGGCTGGGAAAGAACTTGGGGCAAGTTGGCTTTGGAGTTGACAGCAATCGACACCT